AAAAAAAAAAAAAAAATTACAAATGAGTCCCAAACAAATAATTGAAAATCAAAACTTAAAACACAAAGATAACTTCATCTTTTTTACCCCCACCCCAAAACGAGAAAAATGAATCTTCTTCTCCAACACCATACCCTCAAAACCAGAAACTTCTTTACCCACGGCCACCCCAACCGGGCACCCACCACTCATTAGGAAATCAGTTCTTAGTTTAGTTTAGACAACTCTTATGATTATTCAGGCCGAGAACATCACTAATTGTTTGTCCAACTTTTGTATTCTCAGCATGGGTTGGTATGGAGAAGAAAACTATATTGGGGCTTTAATTAGGGATAAGGTGATCGTTGGTTGGCGTGGAGAAGAAAATCGCCACGATACTGGTCACGATAATGTGATCGGTGACGTTGATGGTGTTGCACAGTTGGGCGATGGGTTTGAGAAAGATGAGATGAGGGCGGTGATGTCGGCGACTAAGGTTGAAGAATTCAGCGTTTGTGATTTGGTGGACAGCGACAAAGCTGGGTATTGGTACGAGGATTGTCTACAAATTTGGAGGAGTCGATGGTGGTCGAAATGATGGTGAGGAAGTTGTTTGGAATTGATTTTTACCCAAACGAAGTTGTCGGCGGTTTGGAGTTGGTGGTGATCGAAATGTAAGTGCCCGGTGGGCGATGGTGTGAAGAAGTTACTGGTGTTTCATATGAGATCTTATTTGCATTGCATTTGCTTTTACAAGATGTATCACTTCCCGCGTGATTTGTTCACAATAAGCATCTGCAACCCAGCACCCAGTTTCAATACCAGCTGCAGAGATTTGAGAAGCTCATCGGTCATATTTTCCTTGTAAGGAAGCAATCTATCACGGACTTGTTGTTTTCTCCAAGCACCGTGAGACACTTAGTATCTCCAACTTTCGCCCCTACAGTTTTTACACTAAATCAACCTCCCAACTAGCGTTGAGGTCTTGGAAAGGCACCGAGTAGAACACTTAAGAATTTAAAGGAAGAACACAAATGTTTATAATGAAAACTTTGTATTGAACAAAGAAACTTTACAATACTTAGAACTTTACAACTTCGCTCCCTCTATCTCCAAATGAATGAACCTACCAAGTTATTTATGGGCAAAGTCATTCTTAATGGATGACTAGGATCAATTTAATCAAACGGTCTACATTCCGTCTCTAGAATTTTCTACAAGTATCCATAATAAAATATATATAAGGAATTAATTAGGATTATCTAGAATAATCTACAAGTATAAGACTTGCCAATTATCTAGAATTCTCCATTACTTTCTAGTTAGTTTCATGAGCCATCATAGTCTAGAACATTCCAAATTTGTTTCAAGACCCCGTTGTTCTAGATAATTCCGCCATGTTTGTTATGAGACGAGCGGGTCGTGACAAATCACTGACATATACGAATGAGCTAGAAGACAACTTTCTCAACAAGAGCGCGGGGCATTACAGTCGATTGAACAACATTGGCTAAGTGTTCGTGAACATTCTGTCCTATTTTAATTAATAATAAAATATAAAATTACTATTTTAATTGATTTTGGAATTTATTTGTACTTTTTAAAAAAATTTGTTCTTTATTTTTTGTTTTATTTAAATAAGGAGAGTATATTTGTCAATTTACAATTTAGAACACTTAAGAATTTAAAGGAGGAACACAAGTGTTTATAATGAAAGTTTTGTATTGAACAAAAAAGCTTTACAATACTTAGAACTTTACAACTTCACTCCCTCTATCTCCAAATGAATGAATCTACCAAACTATTTATAGGCAAAATCATTCTTAATAGATGGCTATGATCAATTTGATCCAACGGTCTACATTCCGTCTCTAGAATTTTCTACAAGTATCCATAATAAAATATGTACAACGAATTAATTAAGATTATCTAGAATAATCCACAAGTATAAAACTTGCCAATTATCTAAAATTCTCCATTACCTTCTAGTTAGTTTCATGAGCCATTATAATTTAGAACATTCCGAATTAGCTTCAAGACTCCATTGTTCTAGATAATTCTGCCATGTTTGTTATGAGACGAGCGGGTCGTGACAAATCGCTGACATATACGAATGAGCCCGAAGACAACTTTCTCAACAAGAGCGCAGGGCATTACAGTCGATTGAACAACATTGGCTAAGTGTTTGTGAATATTGGCTAAGTGTTCGTGAACATTCTGTCCTATTTTAATTAATAGTAAAATATAAAATTACTATTTTAATTGATTTTGGAATTTATTTGTACTTTTTTAAAAAAGTTGTTCTTTATTTTTTGTTTTATTTAAATAAGGAGGGTATATTTGTCAATTTACAATTTTTTATTGAGAAATTACATAAAAGAAAATGATATTTTCTACAATGAAATATGTATGTGAAAATGCAAAAATTTTAAACATGAGGACGTTATGTTATAGCAAGCGAAATAAAATTAAGTTTAACGACTATAAAATTTCTCAATGAGATAATGATGTCGGTTAGTCAAGTAGGAACAAAATGGCGTCGTTTCAAAGCAATAGCCCAATGGTGTGGATTTTGGTTTCAAACAAACCAAGCGTAACAATAAAATAAAAAAAAAAGATCAAACAGATCCCATTGGTATTTGAACCCTCCAAAATTTTGTTTGGCATCAATATTTTTTTCCTGTAAATTTATCAAAAAACATAGAAATACATTTTTCTGTTTTTTCCGGAATTTGAATGGCGGAGAAATCTAATGAAGAAATAAAGCCTGAAGTGGAAGCAGCAGCAACTGCCGTAGAACAACCGAAAGAAAGCGGCGGCAGCGGCAGAGGAGGATGGGGCGGTTGGGGGTTTTCTCCATTATCTTATCTCTCAGATCTGCAGAAAGCCGCCACTGTTGCTGCTGAAGAGATCTCTCGCAATGTATCTCTCTCTCAAACAAATACCTAATTTTCTTCTGTCTAGATATATAGTTTTATCGTATAATATTGGTTATGATTTCTGTGTGCTTGTTTATGCATTTTGATGCGTGTTTTTGTGATTGCTGATGCTGAAGCCTCATAATAACTAGGAACCTGATGTCATTTCAATTTAATTTTGGAAAAGTTTTAGGATATGAAAATGTGAAAACAGAGTGTACGACTGAGTTAAATTTGGCGGTTTTCTATGATTTTTTTTCGAAGCTTAAGAGCTAGATCTTGTAGTTAATCAAGGCATGGAATTATCACAATAAAGCATTTTATACGCAAGTAAGGTTTAGTTCTAGCAATGTCAATTATGACATTTTAAGCGGTATCTTTTTTCAGAGGTTTTGTTGCTAGTTGCTACTATAAAATCATAATATCTGATCATATTCTAATAGCTTTTTTAGGTGACTCCGGTTTCGTAGTGTTCGACCTCTTTAAGAATTGACGTTCCAGACATAAACATTAGAAAGAAGTTTCTGATTGAGCTGGTTCTGATACATTCCTCTAATAAAAGGGGATTTAGGGTTGAATACCAAAAATATTTTAATGCCATCTTCTTACATGGTTATTGAAACTGTGATTGAAAGTTACAATGCTTTCTTTTCCTCTCCCAACTAAGTAAAAGATATTAAATACATAAACTACTACAGGATTTCTTTATGTTTAATTTTTTATAGTTGAATGCATTCTACCGAATTCGTAGGAGAATTGATAATTGTTTGAGATCTGCTCTTATGAATTCAGGCTGTTGAGGTTGCTAAGACAGCAGCAAAGGGCGTTACAGATATACAAATGCCAGTTGAAGAGTCTGAGTCTTCGAAGGAGGATGAAACAGAAGCATCTGCGAATGGAGAGGAAAGTGAAGATGAGAATGACAAGCGTCATAAGGTGGCTATGGATAGACTGGAAAAAGCCAGTGAAGATTCATTCCTTGGCCAGGCAAGTCCTACCAATATGATAGTGTGAACTGTGTTGTTTGCTTTAAAGCATAATGTGTTACTTCACTTCTATTCACATGCATCTTTCTCCCCTCTCCCTCAATCCATAGTATTTCCATGATATGTTTTGCTTCTTGTTTCTTATAATGTTGAGAGTGGTGAAGAAATTTCTCATATCATGCTTTAAACTATTGCATCTGCTCTACTTTTACCTTGAATGAGTTTGGTGCAGCAACAGGATTTGGATTTTGTGTAAAGAAGAGAAACTAAAGAATTTTGATAGAATTAATTGAATTTGTAGAATTGATTGATTATAAAACATGCCTACTCATCTTCATAGAAGGTAACCTCCTAATAGACTTCTAACAATCTACTAACCATCTCCTAAAAGGAGAAAAAAATCTCTTAATATATAATATAATACTAAAAACCTACTTGGCTATTCCTAACTAAAATCCTACTAATAAGAAAATTAATACGTGAGAGTTGTTTCGTGAACATGAGATGTCCAACTTGCATGATTTTATTCATTATCCAGTCATCAAGTGCTGATTTGCTTCGTTGTGTGCAGGGCCTGAAGGTTTTCGATAACTCCGTAGAATCTTTTACCTCTGGAGCTTGGCAAGCACTGGGAAGTGCGTGGAAAGAGGGTGCCACTTTAGTCCACAAGTAAGTTGAATAGTACATGATATTTCAATGTGGTACACTTGTACAGCCACGGTTGTGCACACCTGGAAATTAAAAGACAGTTATGTAATTATTATATCAAAAGTGGAAGTTAGACATATTTTGTGGAGCTTGCTAACTTAAATTTATTAAAATTGAAAACCCACCTTAATATTTTTCATACTTTTCATTTGGTGCACAATGTCCCCTTTTTAGGATTAGTGAAAAAAATTAAATTGATACAATCTTGGCTTCGGTTTGGAGTGTCCCAAATGTTATTACTAGGGCTTCACTAAGTGTGTAGAAAGTCTTCTTTCTGCTCTATTACACTGAGAATCATGTGTGGACGATAATGGTGTTTAATATACTTTAGCGTTGTGAGTTTACTATGGGGATGGATGATACAGGTTACTTGTAGAGCTTGGCAGATAACTTATGCTTGGAAAATCAACTGTCTTACACTGAATGATCCTAGACAATGAATTTTGTTGAGGCCCTGAACCAAAAAAATATCCAGCTGCAGTTGGTGATTTTCATTTTCACATTGTTCACAGCAATGCTTTGCCTTGTCTTGTATATTATTGGCAATTTCAAACTCAGCGACTTCAGTGCTGGGTTTCTTTTAGAGGACATTGTATAATAGCTGGAAATCGTTTATCAATGGTTTCTGCATTGCATTTATATATCCTATGTGCATTTTCCTTTTTGACTTTCCTGCGATCCCAAGTTAATTCCTTTGGCGCTCTTTTTAGTTTTATCTAAGTTTGTGATACTCAATTATGTTTTTAACACCATTTACCAGGGGTGCTTTGTAGAATTTCACTCTCCATGTAATGATAAAACCATACTGAAGTATGTTCCTGGTCAAGTTGAAATTTTCTTGATTTAAAATTTTTGGTTCTTCAAAGATGTCTCTTACCTTTTTTAGGCTCGAGAACTCTGCTTCCAATTTTGCTGAATCCATTCAACATGGCGGTCAACCTGGGGCTGCTGGCTCCGTAGTGCCATCTTTTATAGAGGTCTACTCT